CCTCATACTTGGATTTAGCGTTACCTATATTAAATAAAATGAATGATTGTTAGTAATGTTTTAAAAAAGCAACTGGGTAGCTATAGAACATGATAACAATACTGACATAATAAAAATCATTGTAACGAACTAATTCAATCATGCATTGAAATTTAATCGAAGAACGGGGGTACCACRAGTTTGTAAGAGTTATTATTTTCAAATACCGGCAATATTTGTTGATGCTTTAAGTAAGGTGGCTACATGTTTTGAGGCAATGCCCAACAATTACATGTCAAATACAGACTAACACATTGGTGCCCAATAGGCCAACCATATATATTAAAGTATTATATATTATATTTAACGAATTGATCATGACTTATTGTACTATCAAGAAAATTTATTCAAATTTGGAAATATCTTAACGTGCAGTTTTCGAGATTTCGCTATTTCTTTCTTTGAAAAAAATAACGCTCTCGCGCTGAAAACTATATAAAGACACCTTAAGAGTAATGAGGACAACTTACATAAGTTGCATTTTACTATCACAGTGGCAGTTGCACTGTCAGTGTGTTCCCTGCTGTCATAGGTGTTCTTTGCTGTACATATGTACTTGGCAGCGTCTGTTTTGATAGCATCAGGTATTCTAAGTGTTCCCCCAGCTACTGTGTGACCAGCTTTGATGACACCATCAGCCTTTGTCCATGATATGGATGGTGGTGGATAACCATCTGCTGTACAGCTGAGTACGATCTCATCACCTTGTACAACTGTGATATTTGGTGGAGCAACAGTGATGTGAGGAGGATCTGTGCATACGAATCAGTATAAAATCCCATATTAAGCTACTTTTTAACTTTGTTACTTTTATTGTTAGTATTGATAATCAGAAATCAGATAGTCAGTAAATGATCTGCCTTGATGATTGGTCAACAACATGTTTGTGGTTTGATGATGTCTTGCTTTATATCAGCATTCCGCTTGTTTTAGCATCGAACACATTTTTTCAATGTTTCTTCAATCACTGACTATTTTATAACAGGAAAAAAGTACATAAAGAAGAGAATTCCTTGAAACGACAACTTTCATATATTTACAACGCTTCTTGATAACACGCGAGAAACCATACAATTTGCCGTCGTGAAGAAGGAAGTTTTGGTGGACGTCATTCAAGATGTTTCCATGACATAGAATGATTCGATAATGTTTGTGAACGAAACCATTTCCATGTCGGAATGTCATATCGCCTATCGCGTTTAGCAATGACAACATTTTTTGAATAAGGTGTATATAACATATAAGCTAGAACAATTCCATACTCACAGCACACTGCTACCATAGCCTGTAAAGTGACCGGTCTCTCATTAGGGTTGTTGCCAGCCTGACACTCATACGTCCCATTTTGATCTCTTCTAATGTTTGGTATCCTCAGTGTAGCACTTCCTGTTCCTGTACTCATGACCACGTGACCTTCTATCTGTATCCACGTGATGTTGGGTGTTGGTGGACCAATAGCAGTACAAGGCACACTCAGTTCCTGTCCTTCTCCTATGTTTTTCGTTAATGGTGTTTGTGGATTAAACTGAGGAAGAACTGAACAATTTTAAAAGTCGTTAGTGAAAAATGAATAGAAAATTCTAAATACTTTTATATTGAAACG